GCTACAGACTGTGGCAAATAAGTTGTACCCTTGCCCGTTTTTCTGCTTCCTCTGATATGATGTGAACATAACATTACACTTTGCCCACAGTTTCCTAGCTTCACTGTCTCATTACTAAAGGTTAATGGAACAGCTGGACCTTCCATCGTGACTCTGCTGTTAAGCAGTCCAGCCGAGTCCTACCTTTGTTTTCCACATTTACCTGTCTTGAACCCATCCCAGCTTTATTTCTTCTTTCTTTTGTTGCCCATTAGCGCATCACATTATCCCATATAAGCATGACTCTGACACTGTTTATTCAAAGTCATCATATTCCATGAGTCTTCATGTTCATGTGCCATCCCTAAATTACAACTGGCATATACATTTTTCAGGATTGTGCTGTCTACTAAACCTTATGTATAGCCTACAGACAGACTCATATGCATACTAATTAGAATGGAGATGACAGCACAATTATTCTTTCAGCTGAGGACAAAACTAGCCAAAATGATGAGGCTTCACAGACAGAGATTTCATGTCTTGTGCAGGTATAAGTCTAAAATAAACATAGTTTTAATGGCAGCTATACAAATCCTGCTGATAAAGATGTATGGTATTCAGAGTTGACTTTAAGATAGAGGAAAATCTGCACTGTCAAGAAGAGAAACACAAGCATCAAAGTATATGACATAATCTGTAGCTGCTTTTCACTTGGTTTTGCTATTAACATTATGGAGGGCAAAGCAGCTGGATTCAAAGGTTAATGTCCACACCATTAGAGAGCGACAGAGCATGCATTTTTCCCTGTTGGTTTAATTAAATTACAGCAAACTCATAAAGGGGGGATTTATCCCAAACATACATGCTGCAGTCCTAATGGAGCACTGCCTCCCAGCCCAGCTCACGTTTCAAAGTGGGTCGTCTTGTCTTGGAGTTTGTCATGGCCTACATAACAACACAGACACTCGTAATTAGATAATTTGTCAAGCCAGCTGATTACTCTGTTTGTTCTTTTTATGGTATACGGAAGAACACATCGCACTTTTTCATGGGGTCACTCAAATCATTGATCTTACTTTCCTATGACCACATAAACTGGAAATATAGGCCGCTTGTGAACTTCCCAACCCTTCAGAAAGCTAACATGAAGATAAATAAGATTGTGGCTTGCGAGCAAGCAAACACATCTAATCTTGGTTGACTTAAATGTTCTAAGGTGTTGTTTTAGATATTTCTGGTAGCTATACTCTCTTCACATTGTCTTAACTGATGAAACTGTGGCCAGGTTAGAGTGAAAACCTCTACAAGCTGTCAAAAAAAATAAAAGGAGAACATAGTGATTAGACACCCTCTAGTGGAGGATCATTACAAAAACTCCCTCCACAAACCCGAACACAAACTTTCTTTTATCCCTTGAGCTGTCAAAGCCAAGCACATCAAACCTCAAACTGGGGGAAACTCCTGAAAGTATGAATTCAAAACACAATATTCATTTTGAACAGCTCTTTTTTTATAGGATCTACATTATTCCTGTTATAACAGCATAGAGGCATGTGTGCCAGTTATACTCAGTTTGATTAATGAGTCCTTTTCATTTCTTTTAAATTCCCAGAGTACGCTGAAGAAAACCTTCCTGTATGTCAGGAATTGTTTTCAAGTGTAGGCCTACTGTATAAAATGCACACTATCTTGCAGTTCATGCCATCAGTGGTGGAGCCAGGACATTTTCAGTGGGGTGGCCAGGATGGAACCAGTGATAATTTTGGGGTGGCATTGAAATCACTATTATATGAGCATAAAAATACATTTCACTCTAAAATAAGGGGTTATTTAAGGCACCTACAACACACCTCTACATTATTTGGGATTAACCTAGTGGTGGAATAGATCAAATAATATTCAGTGTATCTAACTATTTTTTTCGTATTCCCGCAGGCAATGTATCAACGAAGCTTACATTTTACAAATGTAATGCAATATACAGACTGTTTAGCTTATGGTGATCAGCAGCACTATGAGCTCATTCTCTCAGTGTATCATCAGGAATACAGAGACACACACACATCATTTAAATAAGAGTTTTTAAATTAAATTATTGGTTAAGAATAAACATCTTAAAGTAAATAACAATACACAATAGCCCTTAACCCTGTAAGGCCCCCGGTTGTAAATTTACAACATTACTTTAAGCTATCCAAAAAAGTCACTAAATGTTTTTGTTTTTTTAAAAGACTACATTTACATAGACAAAAGGTCCTTTTGTTCAGCCTCACAATGCTATTGGGTAGTAAATGTGTTTATAGGTCCTGCCCTCTGGCCATACATAAAAGACTAACATTCCTGACAATAGATCTCAATAGTCATCTTTTATGGTGTAAATGCCTGTTTAATAATAACATTTTTGAATGGAACATTCTCAACACGAATGCATCAATCCAAATAAATATAACTTGAATATGTGGGAAAATACTGTGTTTGAAATGTGTAATTGAAATTAGATGTTATCTTTTTGTTTTGATATATATATATATTGTATTCCAGTCTCCCTTCAGATATGTTAAGTGGCATGTAATTCAACACAATGCTGTTCACCTCCTTCAAAGTGAAATTAAAAACCTCTGCATTTTCTATATAGACATTAACAGTACTTAATGTCAGCTTAGTAAAAAAAAAACATAACAATTATTATTTACAATGGACTACGCTTAGCTAACAGACACATTTCCACCACTCATGGACCACACCCACCTTTTCTTTTGAAAAACTGGGTGACATACTGTTGCCCTTTAGTCCCGCTCTCTTTTCTTTCTTTCCTTTCTTTTCATTTTGAAAGCCTGACTTTGTTAGTCGTTGAGACATGGTTCACACGTAAGTACTAGCATCCTTGCTCCTCACATGCTCTCACTCTCTGCTAGAAAGTGCCGTTTGGAGGCGAAGGTGGGACCAAACCATTACATGTAAATAGAAGGGGGTGTACAGAGGCTTTGGATAATTAACTTTAGGAAGAAAATAAGTTAAATGAATTGTAAGTTTAGTGAGTACATTATCAATATAACGTTATATTAATGTTAATTATTGATGAATGATGAAAGGTTACTTACATTTTTTTTTCTTAATGTTCTAAAATTGTTTGGGCCCCTATGGTGAGGGTGTTTGGGGTGACCAATAGGGTGGCCAGGATTCAGCTCCGCCACTGCATGCCATGCAGAGTAAACGAGAAAACTTCAGGCGAGGGTCTGCAGTTGGAAGACAAAACCTCTTATTTTATGTCTTGCTTATTTTAATTGTCATAATAATGCATGTGTAGCATAGAGAAATGGCACAAACAGCAGACTATACATCGTTACAAGTAAAACAAAGTACATTTCCCTGGATACAACACAGGCTTCAATTAATAATTCAAGTAAGTAATTTAGAGCTTCGTGTTTCATTCATAATTCATGGCATGGACAGATGTAGATATTCACGTATAAAAACAAGATGTCTGAGTACTTGAAAAAGAGAGCATTTAGTCAATGGCAGTAAATAAAATAAAATGTGATACATATGCTATAATTCAAATGTGTTGCCTTCCTGTTACACTTGCCTTCTTGCCGAGAGTCAGATGAAAATATTGAGGCTGCTCTCGTGTTTTCAAACTCAACATGTAGCTCAAGCCTGCAGCCAGTTAGCTTAGCTTAGCATGAAGCCTGAAAAAAGAAGGGAGAAGTTAGACTGGTTTGGTTAAAAGGTAACAGATTACCTACCAGCATCTCTAAAGTTCCCTATTTATAAGGCTATTATTAGTTTAGTTAATATAGAAATGTAAGTGTAATATTGAAAATTCTTCATTTTGTTGAATGTTATGTTGCACAATAGTTATTTTGAAAGTTACTTCATGCAGGAAGCAAATGAATGTATTTCTCAAAATGTGGAACTATGCCTTTAAGAAAGCAACTGAATGTCTTTATTTACTCTTTACCATGCAGTGCATCATGACAGGTGCATTATTCAGACTTCACCTTCAATAACATCTATCAGACTGTGAAGGATTGGAGTGCTCCAATCAATAGTTTGATTCAGGACAGCCTTCATACATACACTATGCGCCTCCAAGAGTATGTGAATGTCACCCTCTCATTAGGTAATTTAGCCTTAGCTGGTCTTCAGTGTTATGGGCTGCTGCTAGCTTAGCCGCTTCAGTTTCCGATAAAAAGATGCTGCCATCACAATAGTTGCGACCCCTAGCACAACGAGGAGAGCCACAGCAATGCCCAGGGCAACAGACGCTCCCTTGCACACAGACCACCAGACAGCGCTGTGCACAAATGAGATGATGACCATTAGAATTCTCTGCTCCAGAAACAAAATACTTTATGACACGCTGCAGATTAGAAGGGCTTTCCATTTCTGATATAATGTAATTACTAAAAACTTTGTGAAAGGCTTTTTCTCATACCAGTCAAATGAAAAAATAAAATACTCACCCTCTTCTTTGGATTGAATCGCTGCAAGATAGACAGGAAGGGCCAGAATTTCATTAGGAGGGAATAATCCTCAAAAATAAATTAAATTACTGAGAAGAAGAGTTAAAAAATAAGGAGAGAAGGGTCATAAGTGTGTAATGTGCCTAGAGAAAACAGTTTTACAAGGGTTTCATAAAAAAAAATCGGAAAGTACTGTAGTGGTATGTTTATTTTGTATAAGTTTCTATGGTAACCTTTTTGGATCATTTATGTGATTTATGTATTATATTTGAATCAATCCTGTGATAGTGCAACATTTTCTTGTATATCTGTTTTTCTTTTATCATTCTCATTTTTATCTCCTTTTACCTATTTCCTCGACATACTTTGTCACCTATAAGGACACTTTAAGTCAATGTTGGTTTTTCTTTTCAAATGTTATCTCAGTTCTCTCTTTATTGAAAGATAAAGAGTGAATGTTGCCTCTTTCTCTATATGTATCCTGCTCTGTAGTGTTTCCTTGACTTACAGTTTTTTGTCTTGGCCTTTATTGCCACAGTGACCACAGACGGCTCAGTGATGCCCTCCTGGACGACCGTGGACTGTACGCTCCTCCTCTTCCTGTTGCATTGCTGCAGATCAAACCATATGGAGAGACGTGAGCTTATGACCCGGCTTATGTTGAGTTTTCTGCTTGAAATGCATGCAGCTTGAAGGTGCTGCAGGTGCTGTGCTCACAGAGCCGGGTGATGCAGTGCAGATAGTAGGTGGGGATGGTCTCATTGTGCTGCTCGGTGAAGCGGAACGCTGGGAAGTAGAAGCGGGCCATTTGGCTATCCCCGTTCTCCAGCATGGTGGTGAGCTGATCTATGGAGCACCTTTCAATAAAAGGCAAACCTCACAATTGCTCCATTTGCACATCACAGGGATATACGTGCATGCACTGTATCAATGATAGAAAGGCAGGGAGAGGAAATCAAGACTAGAGTTCCCTTCGGATTCAGAGGAGGAAGTGTGGAGCACTTTTGTCATGGAAGAGAGGAGAAACGTGATGTACGTGTTCAAGTTTAAACTGCTGGACCGAGACAGAATCCATTATAAAATCTAGTAGGACTGGGAAAAAGTTAGATAAAGTTGGAAGCTCAAGTTTTTTTGACTTATGAGACAAATAGATTAAAAATGGTGGAGTTAGAGGGCTGCAGATTCACCGAGGCGTAGCACCGGTCCAGAAGAACAAAGTACCTGTGGAGAGAGACCGAGTCAGAGACTGAGGGTCCCAGGTGGAAACCTCACATTTACAATCTCTTGAGACACAGTCACGTGGTTGGTGACTAGGAGAGACATTTCTTTATTGAGACTTTCATTATGCATTTTCTTTTTTTTTAATTTATTGCCAGGGTTTTAGAAGTAAGTAGCTATCAGAAAAATGTAGGTTGGTAAACATTTTAATATTTCTCCCTAAATAGTTGTGCAATAGAAGTGTTAATAACCACAAAGTATCTCAAAATCGAAGGACATTTTCAAGTACAGTAGTTGGTCATATTTAAATGTAGTTTTTATTACTATAATACATATTTGTCCAGCTCTGAAACAAAGAAAGTAAAAGCTACAGGTCTTTTAACATGTGAAATGTTCTTACTGTGATGTCAGGTTGGATGCAACCACCTGCACGTAGAGGTTGGTTCTCATTTCGATGCCCAGAGGTGGGAAGACAAGGGGTGTGGTGTAATTTATATCCTGGCAAATGATGAGAAGGTAAGAACATTAAGTGCATACATAATATTATAAAATGTATGTTCGTGCCAGGCAGAGATAAGGGCATCTATAGTATGTAGTAAAGGATGTAAGGTACCTGGAACAAGGCCATGCTGAGGGTGCTAATAAAGCTCCCATTGTTGTCCTTCAAAGCAATGGAGGAGGATGACCTACGAGGAAGAAAAGAACGAGATCACACGTTGCACAGATGTGAGATGTAAGATGTGTAAATGTATAGTTTGACCCACATTCTATAAGTGTAAACTTACACATCCACCTGGGTGTTGTTGATGAGATACTCCAGAGGATAAGCACATGAGTACTTGAGCTCTGCGTTGTAGGTGATCGTCCCGGGGGTGAGGTCAAAGGATCGCACCGCCCCGCTGACTGTTGACTCTGATGTTGGAGGAGTCAGCAAATATTCCTGTCCCTGGTGCACTCGTGGTCTGAGGAATTATTTAATGGAATTATATGATTATTTGAGAAATGCTTTAAAATTAATTTCGTCTCAGCAGGGTAGTGATGAAATTACAGAGAGAAAGTGGAACAACTTGCTCCCTCTTCTCAGAAAAGAAGAGTTTTAGGATGTCATGTTTTATATAAAATGGTCTTATTTCTAGTCTTTTTAAACTGTTTCTTACCTAGCTTTTACCACAGTACTAAGATAGCCTTTCAGTTCTACAAACTTCTCCTCAGCTAAAGTATAATATTTCAGACAATCAACATCCCACATACTTTTAATCAGAACACTTTGATAAATTACTCACAAGGAAGTTACTCCCACAGGCATTTCCCTCTCTGATGGGGAAGCTGAGCCTCGCCACAGGAGGGGACACCCAGGTGTCCAGGGTCCCCTGACAGTCCACACTGTCCCGGATGCGGTTGAGGATCAGTAGGCTTGTGTTGTATCCCGTGTAGAAAACCGGGCAGATTTGAAATGCCAGGTCGATGGTAGATGTGCCACACACCACAGTGATGTCAGTGTACTCTGATGGTGAGAAGATGGAATAGTTATTGAAAGTTTCCAACATTATTTAATTATTTTAAACAAATCATAACTATCAAAACTACTCTTTAGCATTCACATTAAAATGAAGCAATGTTGTTCTGTGTGCATACATAACACACAAAGACAAGTATGTAAAATCATCCTAAAAAATACATTTACAAATGATATGAAATAAATGGTTACACAAGAAGATCGAACAATAATAAAATCCTAAACTATTAATTAATGACGGCTAATTTAACATCTACTTTTCTTTTTCTTCTATTTACCAGAGCAATTAGCACTCTTCCAGGTGTGAAATAGCTGGAGTAAACTTGAATCAATATGGCTTGTCTACATCTGAACGAAAATCAATGTGCTCCCTTCAATTCACATCAAAAAATAATAAATAGTATTGTAGGTTACGCTCATCTTACCTGGTCGTCTGGCATATGCTCCACACTCAGATATGTTGAAGGCCTCTCGGCCTGCAATACACAAGGAGGTCAGGATGAGGAAGCTGAATATAGCCATCTCCCTGCTTGGCCCTCTTTGGAAAACACACAGATGTCAAACACAGAAAATGGTCCAAATATAAGCAACGGTCCAAATGTTGATGCATGATCCAGAGCTGTCAATCAAGAAAACTTAGTCTGCTCAATTCTCACCCCCTCATTGTCTTTGCTTGTTGTGAATAAGAGCGCAGTGGTTTGTTTTATGTATGGTGAAATACATGGTGTGGTCAAAACACTGTTTTAGGATTGGACAGAAACAGGGTCAATAGGACTTTAGGAGGGGCTGCCTCAGTTTGCGCAAACAATTGACTTTTTGTGATTGAGGTCCTCTCCTGGAGGCAGATGATGAAACCCAACACAGTTCCCTTCTTTGTTGTATGTGTCTAACAATGTTCTTAAGGCTTTGTGACTTTGTGTGTGAAATGCAGCCCCCTTTGCCTGCTAATATATGAAACATAATGAGCATGTATGGTTTCTATCCACCTGGGGCCTCAAACTTAATATAGGAAAGATGACCTACTGTCTTCTGGAGTTTCATTTGATAAATCGGCACAACATTCCTTTTAAATAAAGTCTTTTGATGCTCATCAGTCATGGCATGTTATCAGGATCTAACATGTTGGTCAGAATAACAATGTCACTCACATTTATTATATTTGACCATTAAGTGTGCCTTATTTTCAAAGTGTAAATAAAGTAAAGATTTACTTTTTAGAATGTTGTGCTCCACGTAGACCTAGCAATACTATTCTAGCATCTTTTTCAGTTAACTGAGTGTTGAGGTTTGAGTGAAATGATTGAAGGACAGCTGGGAACCCAATCTTGTCAGGTGAGCCTTCTGGGAAGAGAAAGCTCTGATTGGGGTCAAGTTGAAGGATGGGCTTCTTTGTGAATGTTCTGTCAAATGCATGGCACAAAACAAATACAGGAAACATTGTTATTGTCATCCTGTGTGCACTGAAACATGCCATAAGCTTCCTTCGGGCCTCTCATCTTTCCCAACACACACACCCTCATATTTATTCTTCGGAAAACGTTTTCTTTGGTTGTGACTAGCCTGAGATTGACTTAAGCATTCAAAGCCAATTCTCAGCCTCATTTCCAATTTTGGAGGAGGGTTTAATCAATTATCTCTGATAATAAACTGAGAGGGTGGATGATAGCATTTATTCCTCTCATTTCAGTTATCTGTGGTCATTGTGAACACTGAATACATCTCAAAATGGCTGTTGAAATGAGGGATTAGAGTGATAAAGAGCAGTGAATGCAGCAAAGCCGTGCAGGTCACAAAAACAGACGTGGAGTCAGATACTTGAAACGCAGCTGCCGGCAAAAGACATTTATATAGGTCATCGGAAAAGAAAATCAATATGGCAAAAATGGAAAGATTAATTCTGGCAGTCATCAAATGAGCTCTTGCTGTGCTTGGTATTTTGCTCATTTTCCTTGAGATTGGACACCAACAAGGCCGTGACATTTGGAAAACTTTTACGGATAGGTGTCGATATTAAAGAGGGATAAATAAACATCCTTTTGTCGAATCAATGATTGAGGAAATGGCAACCTTTCCTTACCTAATTAAAGATGAATTTGTTACCAACAACAAAAATGCCTAGCCACACAATGTTGACTAACAAAGTGTACTTTATATGCATATTTAGTAAAACACAAAGTTGCTGATCGTCACGTGATGTTTAATTTTCTCTGCATGTAAATAATAAAGATGGTGGACACTCGTTTACAGTTCGTGTTCTTATCATACATCCATGTTCGTAATGCGCAGGTATTTTTTGTGTACTTAATGGCAACGCTACAGGCCTGGCATTTCCTGTGAACCCTGAAGTCATAATAGTGTAATGTTCCACAATAGGGCCGTTTCTCAATCGCGAGGATACTGGCTTGGTAGTCGCATACTTCCAAGTCACTTCCTTCAGAAACGAAGAAAGTATACTTCCAAGCCACGGCTTCGGAAAACAAAGAAGAATGGAACAGGCTAACAAGTGTGCCACTCTCTCTAATAATTTCAACATAAACTGTACCGAAAATAAATACCTCACGATGTCTATCTAATTATGAAGTTGCTTTATTTTCACGGAACACATTTTTGGTGATAACAAATGCAACAAAGTAACATATTTACCAACACATGTTCTACGCCACTACATACTTACATTTAAATGTTTGCTGTGCTGCGTCGGTTCAGCCATTCTCCGCAAGGGTTTTTGAAATTGGTCCGTGCGCAAAGCATTGTGGGGATTTGAAGGACGCGAAGTCTACCAATGTGCAGCCTCGAAATTACCCCCAAACCAAGGACGTGGCCTCTGTGGAATTCCAAGTATGCTGGAGATTGGAACAGTCCTTCGGCGGCACTCGATGACGTAGTATCCTTGAAATATTGGCTTGGAAGCCAGTTTCCTCACGATTGAGAAACGGCTGTGCGTGTTCCCTCCTACCTGTTCCCTCCTACCTGTTTTCTTGATTGTGTTCACCTGGTGCCCCTGTGTTTTCTCCTCCCTCCTCATCTGTCTCTTGTTACCTTGATTAGTCCTGTGTGTATTTAAGTTCGGTTTTTTCTGTCTGTCATTGTTGGTTCGTCGTTTGTCTGTGACTGTTCACCGGGGAGTGTTCTGTTTGTTATCCTTGAAATAAAGGTATTTTCAGTGTTATCTGCATTTGGGTCCTGCTTGCTTCACTCAACCTTAACATATAGTGCTTAAATGTTTGTATGTTACCTATCACTTTCCTTTATTGTCCTTGTTTTAGCTGTATGTCCTTTTCTGAGTACATAGAGAACAGTGAAAACAATCAACTTCCTGATATGTGAAATATGTATTTTCTTTAAAAAAAAAAACGTTTAAACGGTTATCTAGCTTAAATACTCAACAGCAACAATATTCCTAAAGAAAACATTTGAATACATTGATTCTGTAAAATAATAAAACTTTTCTAACTCCCGGCATCGAGGTGAAGTGTTTTTTCTAAATTGTAGACATTTATTTTTACTGTTTAAGTACATTTCCACTTAACACGGATACAATTTATAGTTTTTGTGTATTCTAAATCCCGAACACCGTAAAATGCTTCATAACAGGTGGTTGTAATGCTATAGCTTAAATGCTATTTGAATGAAAACAGAAGATATATGCCCCTTTTTTGTTTGAATGGTTTATAAGCTGCTTTGGTTTCAGTCTAACCTTGTGTATCAGCTAATTTCCTCAGATCTGGAAAAAATAAGATACATTTTGTCAAAACAAGTAATTTTCGTAAGTTGCATCAAAGAGAGAAAGGGAACATTTCTGATGCAATCTTTTATTACAAGTTCTAAAGAATAACGTTTTATCATTTGCAGAATAGATATGAGTGTACATCTTCTGTAAACACTGATTATCCACCAATATATGACAATTAATTAAACAAGAATAATGAGGTATTAAAGGCAATAAATACAAAACACCTACAACAATAAAATATCCACATTTATTAATGTGTGTAAAAGGAAAGCACACATACACATTTTGAACCCAACATTGTATACTCATTCTTCACATACGGTCAGTACCATGTTGTTATCGTTTACAGATATTTATTCATTTAAAGGTGGTGTTCCAAACACCTGATGCTGAGGTTGCTGGGAGGCGGCACTTCTTCAGGAGGCGGAGCGACAGCAGAGAGAAGCCCACGCTGACCCCGCCCAGGATGACCACGCCCGAGATCAGAGCACTGGTCACTGGGTTCATCGGATGGGGTGGGGTACCGGTCGCTGGGGGGTTAGGAAAAGTGAAGAAAGGCAGACCCTTAAAACAGACATGTCCTTTGATGAAGGCCTAACATAACCAGAGTTTCCACAAATGTCCATGGTTTCTGCTATCTTAACAGGACTTAGTCACAGAATATATTTAAAACATTTTCTCATTTGTGACAACATAAGCTTACCGAGTTGGGAGTTGTTGGCAGGAGTTTCATCTGGAAAATATTTTTTAAAAGTGTTTATTGGAAGCATTTTTACAGGCTACAGGCTAATCTTCAATGACTCCCTGGATGTTTATTTTTACTGAGAAGATTGATTCCATTTTCTTATTCCCATTTTCTTATTTGTCTGTTAGATTTGAAGTTGAACCCGGTTAGCCTAAGCATAAAGCACCTTTAAAGTAACTTGTTATTTCTGGTGTGTTTAATCTGTACAAAAACCATGGTGTAAATATCAAAATGTGCTTTACAGGGGGTTATTGACAGCCAGTATTCTTCATATTTAATGGTGAACATAGCTGCATGTTTGACATGAGTGGTATCTTTGTATCTAAACCCTCAACAAAAAAGCAAATAAGTTTATCCCAGAAATGTCAAACTTCTTTTTTATGTAATTTCATTGTTAGTACCACTCCTGGTGATGATTGGTCCAGCTGTGAGGATGGCGTTCCCAGATGCAACTGGTGGGGAATCAATGCTCTCCTCTCCATCCCTCCTACGTCGTTTCGCACAAATCTGCCAATCATATCATAAAAATTCAGTCCTCATTGATGTCAGGAGACACAAACTGAGAAAAGTGTTGGACTCACCGGCATGAGCATGATGCAGTCGTCTGCCCGGCAGAGCTTGGTGACGCAGTGCAGAAACACAGTTGACATCTTCTGGTGTCTGTGTTTAACAAAACGAAATACCTCGAAGGAAAATCGGCCCATCTGACTCTTCCCATTCTCAAAAACTGTCGTCTGTGGGTCTTTGGAGCAGCTGTGTCACAAGAGAACAACACAGACACTCATATTTGCACACTGAAAATTACATATTTTACTTCTAGGTTTTGCTTAAGCACTCAATGAGAAAGGGTAGCATTCATTAAGGATAAGCCCTTTGGAGAGCCTGAATGGAAAATGACTCTCTTTTGTGGTTTATCAAGTCATTATCTTGAAGAGGGAAAAAAGCGAGATTACCCAAAGAAAAGGTCATAGCGAAGTTCATCATTAGGATTCCCTGAGGGGGTTGTGTAACAGTAGTCCATCAAGATGTTCCACCTGCAGAGGGACAACACTGTGAGCCCTGATGGAGGATACAGATCTAACTGCACATGGGAAAGCACAGATCAGGGCTTTCTCTGCTGCAGACTGGCGCCTTCAAGTATAATAATAACATAATGGCATAATGAATGCAGGCAAACCAAAGAAAAAAAGACTTAATCTTTAAAGATGATGGTGGGAAAGATGTTTTGTATAACCAATATATCAGGTTGTTGTTGTACTGGAATAAATGCCTACCATATAATCAATATTTAAGACATCTGAAAATGATGAGAAAATCAACATTCAGTAGAAAATAATAAGATGTTATCTGGTACCGTTTGTCTAAGTTTGTGGCTTTCACAGCAGCAAAGACTCTGGTTTTCAGAGCCAGTCCAGCCATTGGAATAGACAGGGGTTGATTGTAGGTGGAATCCTGACCAGGAAAAAAAGTCAAAGTGAAAAGTCAGTTTTTCCATTCAAAATATGGAACGGGATAATATATAAGAGTAAAGGGGGCCTTCATTTAAATAGAAAAAGCCTTTTCATTTCTTAACACAGCTGGGCACTGCCGTTTGGGGACTATTTCAAGTGGTAAATTAATACACATTGGTCCTCTAATGTGTGAGTATTTCCAGCAACAAGACGGACTAGTTGAATTGACTCAAACTAAACCAGACTGCCCACGTCAATTGTAGAGAAAAAAACATTCCATTATTTGTCAGTTTTGGTCTTGGAAATAAATAAAATATCAAGTAAATCATCAATTTAAAATAAAAAATTAGTACACTGACTTTATTAAAAGATTATGAACATAAAAACCCCTCCTCATTCAATGCTTCAAAATGCATGCCTTTCCACAGAAAATATTGTATATAATAGGATGAACCCAGCAGTGTACTCACGTTGTACAGGATCATATTCAACGTGCTCACAAATGTACCGTTGCTCTCCTTGACAGATACAGCAACAGATGAGCTGTGAATAGATTCAACACATATATTGATTTATTTAATTCACTTTTGAAGGTATTCACTTGATAATTTAAAAAAAGAACAGGTATTAATGGTATACAACCATAAAGCTGAATCTTAGAAGAAAATATAAATTGTTAAATAAATTATTAAGAAAATCCACATTACACGATTTCTTTCAGGGTTTCAGCCAGGCACTTTATGTCATCATCGTTTTTTAATACAATAAACAAATCCTTATTGTTTCCTTATTAAATAAATAAATATAAAGGTAAAATCCAATAAGTATTTCCTGATAGTAAATTTTTCTTTTTGACACACAATTTGATGTTTTTTGGCAGTAACTTGCGACCTACGATGCCAGCTGTGAGTTATTGACCAGGTACTCCAGCGGGTAGCTGCAGCTGAATTTATACAGCAGGCCGGGCAGGTAGCTGATTATAGCCGGCGGGTCAGGGGTGTCGATGTAGCCTGAGACATTCCCAATTTGTACCAGAGACATGTTCCCATAGGCATTGGCCCCGTAGGCTGTGCTGACCTGCAGAGACAAACATCTCAGCCATGTCACCTTTCTTCCTCCCAGGTCAATTAACAACAAGATGCAGTTGCTTATTGATTACATTAACGTCATGTGATTGTGTTTGTATATTATTTACCACCAGGCTGTTACCACAGGCCTCCAGAGTGTTGAGACTGATGCTGAACAGGACCGCTGTGGGGAAGGTGTTGTTGTTGATGAAGCCACGGCACTGGGCATCACTGTGCTGACCGTTCAGGGCCAAATCTGTGTCTGTGTAGCCAGAGAAGAGCACGGGGCAGAAGTTGATCTTCAAGGTGATGGTCTGAACACCACAGTACACGCTGATGTCCCGCTCACCTGAAGGAACACAGGAAGGAGAGAAAGAGAAAAGGTTTGGGTTAACTATTTTAATTATAAAGGCTAATGATTGCTTTCAGGTATTGGCAGATACTTTGTTTATTTTCTATACAGCTAAGTTGTACAAATGTATGGGAAAATGAATCTGTTGCCCAAATTTGAAAATTGCTGCCAATGTGATGTAGCTAATTGACATTGACATTACTTGCATTTAATCCATATATATGACGTGTTTTTGTTATTTTTTTGTTCATACCATTTATTGGGTAGGATAATACAAAAAAAGTCCTCTAAACTGAGGAACACATCTCAGTGTCTTCAAATATCGAATAAACTAATTACTGTTGCTAAAGCTGCCGCAGGTAAACCACTTCTCATTATCTTTTGTTCTGATAACCCCTTTTTAAAACTGCTCTTCAACTTTCAGCCCAAAACCACCCCCATTATGTACTCCACTTTCATTTTGATCTCAACTACTAGTATGCAGGTGAATCCCATTGAGATCATTGATCTCTTTTTCAAGGGTGACCTGCTGCAAGTAGGTTCCACATGAATACATATAAACATAACAGAAAAACAAAAAGGACATCATACAGCATATTCACAGCGACTACTGTACAGTTTACATAGCTAGTAACATTTACAGGTTCCAACAGTTTCCGATTGGATAGCATCTATCCTTGCTTTAAAAACATTTAGTGGAACCAAATTGCTCAGCTTCCATTCCTTTTGGAGACTGCTCCAAGTTAGCGGAGCTGCGCATCTAAAAGCTATCTTTCCTAAGACAGTCCTAACAGTTGGCACATTTAATAAAACCACAGCATTCGATCTCAGGCAGTAGCCACTTACAATTCGCCGTGAGATCAGGGGGCAGATGTAGGATGGAAGTTTCCCTAACATGGCTTTGTATATAAAAATGTACCAGTGACTGAGCCTCCGTACAGTTAGTGAAAGCAAACCTTGCATACAGGGTACAGTGATGGGTTAATACTTTACAGTTTGTCACAAATGTCAGTGCGCTGTGATAGGCGGCATCTAACTTGATCAGGTAATGGGCAGGTGCATTCATANCCTTGCATACAGGGTACAGTGATGGGTTAATACTTTACAGTTTGTCACAAATCTCAGTGCACTGTGATAGGCGGCATCTAACTTGTTAAATGGGCAGGTGCATTCATATAGATCAGATCACCATAGTCCAGCACTAGTAAAAAGGTCACAGTGACTAGCCTTTTCCTGGCTGTAAATGAGAAACAGGACTTGTTTCTGAAAAAGAAACCTAGCCTAACCCTCAGCTTTTTAAGCAGGTTATTGACATGAAGTTTAAAAGTAAGACAATCCTCAAGCCAGATACCTAGGTATTTGTAGCAGGTAACCACTTCAAGTTGTATTCCTTGCATAGTTACAGTATCTAAATCAGGCTCTGGTTTCTTTTTAGCTTTTGAAAAGAGCATTTGATTAGTCTAAACATCTAATGAATTACTAGAAACGCTAATCACACTTTGTTCACCCATAGGTTGGCGTGCCAATCCAGCCCCCCGACATTAAGGATTAATATGTGTTCCCATACTGACGTCAACCATTCAATAAAACAGGTTTGAACGCCACACCAGCTCTTGTCATCTTTTATACATAAAACGCTGCCTGCGCAATGTTTTACCGTGGAACAAATGAATATGCTTCGCCAATAGTGAAGTTATATAATACGTAACAGAGACCTAGATCACCTCTGTTACGGCAATGATCCTCTCACAACATGCATTGCTGATGCTAATCCAGAGACACTAAAGTTCATGAGAACAAACATCACTAAAAGCAGGTAATAAGATGAGAGCATTTTTATTTCCATGACTACAGTCGTTTGAAACCTCCAATCCATTTTTCGCCCATTTACAAGCTGATCATCAAAGCACCCTCACATCCTCCATTAAAGCTAGAGGAGTTCTTTGTGTCCAATCGAGCCGCGCAGGTCACTGAGTTGCTTCCAGCTAGGAACAAACATGAATCCCCTCTTCAACATCAATCGGATGAACGGCTAATAATAAGGTTCATCAAGTTAATAGAGCCGGACACAACACAAACACTAGAGCTGATGGGCAGTCAGTGGGCTAAGCCTCCATGATGAACATGGGTTGACAGTTTGTTTGGTGTGATGGGGCCTCGAGTAGCTGCTTACCGGATTTCTGCTTCACTGGCCTCTGTGGGAGGGATGCACCAATCCAATCCTTTGGAGTGGACACACCTTCCTTATTCAAGGCCCTGAAAATCAGTGCCCTGTCACTCAACAAATTAGTTTATTTTATCCCCTAAATTGTCTGACCTTGACTATACTGACTTGTGTCACAAACCTTTTACTTGTTTCTCTACTGAAGGGAGACATGTCCCTAAAATCTGAGGTTAATTAAAAGTTGTAATTATTATACTATAATAATAATAATATAAATTGTAAACATGAGTGTACAGTGTTTTGATGTTATCAGAGCCCTGGAGCTTACATATCTCTCCACTAGCTGACATATACCAATAGCAATACCAATGGATGTCATTGTAACTTTTACAACCAGTTTCGCTGTTTCATAAAAACGGGGGAAAAAACACGATTCTAACTACATTAGTGTTTGGGATGTGTCTGCTAGTCACCCATTTGCACAACAGACACCTCATTTGGGTGAAACATGTATTGCCATCCTGATGTGCACTTCTCTTTTAAGCCTAGATCAACTGGTAGTGATGGGATAGGCCTTGTAACATATTACAAGGCCTGTAATATGTTCATATTTTCATATTCATAGAGCCATTATTTTACTAAATGAAGGGGCACGTGTAGTAGTAATGTGCTTCCAGCCCTGTTTCCCAGTGTTTTTTGTTGTTGTACATGTGAGAAAACGAGGAAAATATATTAAAATAAATTTAGCAGGGTATCTTTATATACTTTAAAAAGTGTCTTGAGAAGAGTTTTAAGTATGTATATATCATGCCAAATAAGCAACTTAAATAACTTAACGTTTTTATTTTTTAATGAGCAGGTATATGTCTTTAGTGCTACAATATGTGGGACAATATGTGACTGTTGTTACCTTTTACCTTACATTAAAATATCCCTGAAAAAAAAGTTATAGTATTGTATTCTGCAGTTGAATGCACCTGTACTCTGTGGGGTAAACTTAATTCAACATCCCACACACCCTGCTACGATGTAGCTTTGAAGTATAGTGCAACCCCACATCACTGCAGCAGCAGTGATGTGGAGAGAGCATGTAGTCGCAACTACACAAGTACTACTGGGACATATATCTTAGGCACTACTCTGCACGTTCCCTACATCTGCAGGCACTCTGCTCATGTATGTATAGAAGGAAGTGTGAGTATACTGTATAGAGTGGTTATATACACTGTTTGATTTATTAATGTTATTGTGTTATGCAGCTCTTTCTAGATATGTTGATCTACCTTGAACTCATCAGATTCATTCCTCTGACTTGTGTCACAACATCCTTCTTATGAGTTGAAAGAGGTGCATATACGGTTAAGGAACACATATTCTGCCATCACTTAAGATGAGGGGGTTAGGGTTAATATGGGCTTGGACACCAATTAATTACTATTTCATTGTTACACAGTCCCCCCCCCCCACCTTTTCCCCCTTGTAAACACAATCACCAGCTGAACCCAATGATATAGTTTTAAACGAGGATTAATCGTGGATGTTGTTTTGTTTTCTGTCTTTCTATTTGCTACTCTCCACTGAGACTGCTTTACAAATTGCAGCGCTGCTGAGCTGGGAACTTATTGCTCTCGCTCCTGGAGAGAACTTGATGAGTCTATAGTCCTCAGTTAGAAACGTCTCGTCTTAGGTTTATTGGTGACTGTTAGAGAATACAAAATGTTGTGATGTTGCCTAAACATGAGGTCATGTGTTTATCATGTCATCAACCAGGCTAATGCTATTGACAGTATTTGCCAGAGGTGGGAGTAAGTCCTACATGTGCAAGTCATGAGCAAGTCTCAAGTCTTGACCTACAAGTATCAAGCAAGTCCCAAGTCACTGTGGTGAGAGTCAAGCAAGTCAAGTCAAGTCATTGCTCAGGTGCAAGCAAGTCAAGTCATACAAAATTCTGATGAATAAGCCCAGTTTCCGCATTTAAATCACTTAAAAGACAGTGGTTATGAAAATGGATTCAACCCACACTATGATCTTCATTACATACACAGTTAATCATTTGAAATCTAATTTAGACCGATGACAATCATATTAGATTCATATTAACCCTAGAACTGCAGACAATATAGCTAGGGCTCAAAAAGTCTGTTCAAAAAGGCAAAATTCCAGGTAAGAAAATCATATATGGCATTTGCCATTACACATATTTAATTTAAATTTATGTTAACACTAGAACCGCCAACAGCGTCAGCACCTACATAGATATCATTTTCAAATCATTTAATTTGTTCCTCTTCATAATTTCCTTATAAACTAAGTAGGACGATTTTTGTATGTTTGTAATAATGGACCAAGAGTCTCTTTAAATAAAAAAACTCACTTAATTGGGTTCATTTAGAAATTGCTTCAGTTTATCATCATAACAGATCAAAAAGTTCAGATTCCTTTTACAATAAATCAAGGAATGATGCACTTCTACAAACAAAAACAACATCATTAAAACATTTAAACAAACTACTAAAAGTAGATGAACTACATTATTCAACAGTTTACAGTAACTTCTGATAATAACACGGGAAATAAACAAGGCATCTCTTTTCCTCTCTCTCTCTCCTGACAGCCCGTCAGTATCAGGGTACAAATGAATCCCCTGGCGGTTCTAGTGTTCATTTACCGTGTTGTCTTCTCTTTGCTTAATCGATTTGAAACCAAGTCTAACGTAGCTTAAACTTAATGTTAGCTTTCTAGCTAACACAACACATGCACGTACCTGGGTTTTTTTGTAGTGACGAATGAAGTTGGATGTTGTGATGGTCGCGTCAGTGATCTTTATGCTGCA